GAAGCTTCTCCAATCCAGTCTGCAGGAGGGCCACCATATTTCTTCTTACCATTAACCTGTACAAGATTAATATTACACCTTTCCATCCACTCCAGAAGGAAAGCTTGATTGTCTCTGTTCAGAGAATTAACCCTGACCAGGCCATTTTTGCGTTATGGTGCTGCGTTACTTTAACTGACAATTGCTCGGTAATGCAACGCTGCACCCAAATGAAATTTACGGCCCTTTTTTCCCACGAATTGAGCTTTCTTTTGGTGGTATTTGATCACCTGTGTGTTTTTTTTTATGTTTTGCGCTATTAAATTAAAAAACAACAACAATTTGAGAAAAAAAAACTATATTTTTGACTTTTTGCTATTAAACATGTCCAGTAAAAAAATCATAAATTGAGAGCAAAATGTATTCTGCTACATATCTTTGCTAAAAAAAATCCCAATACGTGTAAATTAATTGGTTTATGTGAAAGTTATAGCTTTTACAAATGGCAATATATATACTGGGATTTTTCTTTCTTTTTTTTTTACTAGTAATGACAGCGATCAGCGACTTATAGCAGGACTGTGGGACGGCAAACAGGCGTTCTGACACTGAAGGAAACTGACTTGGTGTCACTGACATCATCCCAAATGACACCAGTACAGTGATCAGTACTAATAAAAAGCAATGACACTGTACTAATATGAAAATACACAGCAAAACCAATCCCAAGTCCAATATCCCAAAAAAGTTATCCACCTCCACCCTTGAAGGCCAAACAAACAAAATATATAAAACTTTTTCTTTTTTTTAACCAAATAATAAATATGTCCGCCAATCCCACCTAACAAAAAGTGTCCAAAAAAAATATATATATATAGTGTCCCAAATGTCTCAATTATCAAAATAAATCTCCAAACATGTAGATCATTAAATTCTTTCTTCTTCATTCAAACTTGCAAATCCTGATGACAATTAAACCTCAAAAGAAAAAAACTTAACATAGTGTCATACCATTTAAATAATAAAACACACGTGCCACTCTCTGTGCAACATGCAAAATCTATGTACACGTGTATACTCTATAAGTGAGTATCTCTATACAAGCAAAATTTATATCAATGGACGACACTCACATAAAGTGTCAGCTACAAACAAACGTGAAAACTAAAGATATCACTCCAAACGATTTGTAAACGATGTGTCCACCACACTCTGTATATAAGTGTACACCTTAGACCCAAACCCACAATCTCCACCTCATGTGCTGATGGATAATTACCCTATGCAGGAAAATATAGGGCATCACATCACTCTGGGTTGCTATCTCTTCATTCAGATATCAGGCTTCCTCCAATCCTAAGATTATTCCTCCATTTCCCTCATGAGGAAATTCACAGTTACCAATCGTGGATAAAAGCACAATTTTCCCCTTATTTGCCAACTTTCATTAAAATAAGGGAGAAGCAGCTCCTCCTCACAGGGATACAGATACAAACAAGTTTTAGGGAAACATTAGCCACATGTTCCCACTTCCAAGATGGGATTTTTCTTTCTTTTTTTTTTACTAGCGAATCGCACTTCCGGTCAGCGTCGATACACTGAAGTGACTTGTGTCCTGACATCGTTTCGTCACTTACTTTGACTTTATCTGAAGGGTGACACTGTACTAATGGCACTGGGCAGGAAGGGGTTAACACGTAAGGCGATCAAAGGGTTAACTATGTGCTGTTTTACTAGGGGGCTGTGTGTTAGTGCTTCACTGTAAGCACACTGGTTTGCATGGCTGTGCTGTGCAAAGCCATGCAAAGCAGTGTGCACTGGCTGACAGGGGGGAGAACTGTTTTGTTTAAACAACAGAGGTCTCTCTCCTGTCAGCTTTGACATGGTGTTTTGTATCTCTCTGCACAGCAGAGAAATACAAAGCAGCATGTCTACCTAGTAAAACACAGCACACAGTAAAACACACACAGCACATAGATGTTAACCCCTTCCTTCCTTGTGTCATTAGTTCGGTGTCAGTGCTTTTATCAGGACTAATCACTGTATTAGTGTCACTGGGAATGTCAGTGGCCGTTAGTCAGTTCCCACCCAGTGTCAGAATGCCCGCCGTAGTCTCGCAGTACCGCTATAAGTCACTGGTCTAGTGACTTATAGCGGTACTGTCTAGTCATTACTAGTATTAAAAAGATAAAAATAAAAATTCCAGCATATATATACGCCATTTGTAGACTCTATAACTTTCACGTAAGCAAATTAATGTACACGTTTTGGGTTTTTGTTTAGCAAAAACATGTATCAGAATACATTTTGCCCTAAATTTATGAAGAAATTTTATTTTTTAAATTTTTATTGGATATGTTTTATAACAAAAAGTAAAAAATATTGTTTTTTTTTTTTAATTGACGGTCTTTTTTTGTTTATAGCGCAACAAAATAAAAAACCACACAGGCGTTCAAATACCTCCAAAACAAAGTTCTATTTGTAGGGAAAAATGACAAATTTAATTTATGTACAGCGTTGCATGACCACGCAATTGTCAGTTAAAGTAAAGCAGCACCATATTGCAAAAAATTGTCCGGTCAGGAAGGGGGGCAAATCCTCTGGAGGGCAAGTGGTTAAAGGATAAGTTCATCTTTGGGAGCATGTTTCATGTTCTACCTGTTTTTAGGGTGGAACATGTAACATGTTCCCAATGTTGCAGCTGCTGCCCCCTCCCCCTCTCCCTGTGACAGCAGTGCAGGGAGAAGTTCCTCCTATTATCTGTCAGTTTTTAAAATCAGCGTGGCTGTGCGGGGCTCCACCCATATGGGCAAGCCATTCATTCACAGAGTTCTGTGAATGAATGAACTACAAGCCCCGACAGCCTTCGGCTTGTAGTTCTCAATGAACCCACCATGGAGCTGTGGAGCGCCATGGTAGTTCATTGATTAATCCTGTCAGTATATCTGTTTGCCTGTACTTCCTGTATAGGCAAGCAGAAATACAGACAGGTCTGCAGGAGACCTGCATGGCACCAGCGATCTGCTGATTGCTGTTGCAATGCTTTCCAGACTCCCGCAACCAAAAATAATAAATGCATATTTTTTATCTGCAAAAAAATGTGCATTATTTTTTGTCATAAGCTGAACTTATCCTTTAACTTATTCTATTTGTTATTTTGAAAAGGCCAAAATAAGGTAAAAGTTGTGATAAATATAAAAGAAATTTGGAGATAAACCAATTATTTTTGATGCACTAATCCTCACAGCTTGGGTTAGAGCATTAGATGCATGGCAGGGGAGTCTTTTTTGCCTCCAGGGTCAGTTCCTGCACTGCAGGTGAACCAATGTTTGATTTACAAGGGGGCAAAAATAAATAATAAAACAATATAAAAGGTATTAGAAAAAAAAAATCATTATTTTATTAACCACTTGCCTACTGGGCACTTATACCCCCTTCCTGCCCAGGCCAATTTTCAGCTTTTGAATTACAATTGTGCGGTCATGCAACATTGTACCCATATGAAATTTTTATCATTTTTTTCACACAAATAGAGCTTTCTTTTGGTGGCACTTAATTGCCACCAGGTGTTTTATTTTTTGCTCTATAAACAAAAAAAAAACAGCAAAAAATTTGAAAAAAAAGTTTTTCTTTGTTTCTATTATAACATTTTGCAAACAGGTTTTCTCCTTCACTGATGTGCATTGATGAGGCTGCACTGATAGGCAGCACTGATGGGCACTGATGAGGTGGCACTGATGAGGTGGCACTGATAGGTGGCACTGATTCTGCTGCACTGATATGCAGCAATGATGGGCACTGATAGGCGGCACTGATGGGCAACACTGATGGGTGGCACTGCTGGCCACAGGTGGGTGGCACTGCAAGGCACTGATGGGCACAGGTGGGTGGCACTGCTGGGCACTGGTGGGTGGCACTGCTGGGCACTGGTGGGTGGCACTGCTGGACACTGATCATCACATTTTCCAGTTATCGGCAGTACTTTCTTCAGGCTGTGACAGCGTGAGGAAAGTACTGCCGATAACAGGCAAGTGTTTTTACATCATGATCAGCTGATCTTCATTACTTCGCCTGTGAAGATGACCACTTCTACATCATCCAGTCAGACTACTACCGTCGAGTTTCAAAAATGAACTCCGCTGAAGGTGCAACTGCTTATCCCCTACACCCCAACTGTCAAGGGGGCAGTCATTATTGTTCGACTTTTGGACACTTCTATATAATTTTTCAGGAGCGAGGGGTCTATCGTAAGCCCTGTGATTGGCCCTTTACCGTGACATGTGATCAGCTGTGTCGGACACAGCGATCACAGAGAGCAGCTGGTGCGTGCCACAGCGGGCACACAGAGACCCATTTTTGTGAGATGACATCATATGACTCCCTCCCAGAACTGGATGACCGTGCTGTAGCCGTCATTTGTTCAGCAAGTGGTTAAAGTGGTAGTAAACCCTTTTTATATACTGTACTTTCACCTACAGGTAAGCTTATAATAATGCTTACCTGTAGATAAAATTAATATCCTTATAAATGTGCACTGTGTTTAGGAGAGATTCCCTCTTTTTGAGACCCGGTGCATGCGCTCTGAAGGAATGACATACCTGTGCTGTTTAGGGTTGCCACCTCGTCCCTTTAAACCCACATATTCATTACACAGGTTCTGAGGCTAATTTAATGCAGATAAGGCTCTAGGTGAATTCAATGACCACCTTAATCAGCCTCAGAATCTGTGTACTTAATAGGGCACTTATACCCCCTTCCTGCCCAGGTCAATTTTCAGCTTTCAGCGCTGTCACACTTTGAATGACAATTGCATGGTCTTGCAACACTGTACTCATATGAAATTTTTTATCATTTTTTTGTGACAGATAGAGCTTTTTTTTGGTGGTATTTAATCACCTCTGGGGTTTTTTTTTATTTTTTGCTAAACAAACCAAAAACAACTGAAAATAATGAAAAAAAATGTTTTTTCTTAGTTTCTGCTATAAAATGTAGTAAATAAGTGATTTATCTCCTTCACTGGTGTGCGCTAATGAGGTTGCAGTGATGGGCACTGATAGGCGGCACTGATGGGCATTGATAGGTGGTACTGATGGGCACTGTTGAGAAGGCACTGGTAGGAGGCACTGATGGGCATTGACAGGCATCACCGATGGGCACTGATAGGTGGCACTGATAGGCAGCACTGACTGGCACTGATAGGCGGCACTGGCTGGCACTGTTAGGCGGCACTGACGGGCACTGATAGGCGACATTGACTGGCACTGATAGGCGGCACTGATTGGCACCACTAATAGGTGGCACTGACTGACATTGATAGGTAGCACTGAAAGGCAGCTCAGATGGGCACTGATATGTGGCATTGATGTGCACTGGTAGGCACTGATATGTGGCATTGATGTGGCACTGATGGCAGCATTGATGGCAGGTGGCATTGATGAGCACACTGACAGCTGGCATTGATGGACACTGACAGGTGGCACTGATGGGGCTACACTGATAATCAGGGTACACTGATCATCAGTGCCCTGATGATCAGTGTACATGTCCCCTCTGAGGAATGATGATTACCGGCTCTCCTCGCCTCACGAGCTGTCAGCGTGACAGCTCGTGAGAAGAGAAATGCCGATAACCGGCATTTCCTGATTGGACACAGCTGATCACATGACATAGATGACGTCTTCAGCACTTTCCGTTGATCGGTGATTTGCTGTGTCCGAGGGACACAGCGCACCACAGATCACTACGCTGAGCGCCCCGGGAGCCGCGCACGTGCAGTTAGAGTGTGAGGACATCATATGACATCCTCCAAGAACAAGAGAACAGCCTTGCGCTCGTAATTTCCTTATATGGTGGGTGGGAGGCGGTTAAAGGGATGAGGTGGCAACCCTAGTGCCGTTCCTTCAGAGCACTGTGCCATGGCCTGGGAGTGCATCATCATGTCTCGACCAGTCAGACAGCTGGAGCCCGCGAAGAACCAGCAAACACAAATGTTCCTGCGCTTGGGGATGGACTCGATGCAGGCTACAACCACATTAAGAATGTCCTGGAACATGCACACCTTGCTGCCCTCAAATGGACCGGGGGAATCCAAATATACTGAATAAGGAAAGAAAAAAAAGAGGGCGCACAGGCCTAGTGCATTACCATAAAAAATGTTTAATAAAAAATAAAGTAGGTGTTGTACTCACAAACGACAATATAGCAGAAATACTGCTACAGGGTGGAAAGGGTGCGCAAAATCCCGTATATATACGCGCAGTGGTGTATTTTGGTTTTCTGCTGCCCTAGGCAAGACTAAAATCGGGCTCCACCTCTTCCTATTATAGCTCCGCCCACTGACAATTATGGGGTGCTATTCCTCCCCTGACACCAATGATGGGGCACGATTCCTCCCACTGACACTAATAATGGGGCACTATTCATCCCACTGACACCAATGATGGGGCACTATTCATCCCACTGACACCAATGATGGGGCACTATTCCTCACACGGACACCAATGATGGGGTATTATTCTTCCCACTGACACCAATGATGGTGCCCCATCATTAGTGTCAGTGTGTGAGGAATAGCGCCCCATCATTGGTATCAGTAGGAGGAATAGTACTCCATCATTACTGTCAGTGGGAAGAATCGTGCCCCATCATTGGTGCCAGTGGGAGGAATCGTGCCCCATCATTGGTGTCAGAGGGAGGAATAGCACCCCATAATTGTCAGTGGGAGGAATTGTGCCCCATCATTGGTGTCAGGGGGAGGAATAGTGCCCCATCATTGGTATCAGTGGGAGGAATAGTACTCCATCATTACTGTCAGTGGGAAGAATCGTGCCCCATCATCATGGTGCCAGTGGGAGGAATCGTGCCCCATCATTGGTGTCAGTGGGAGGAATAGTGCCCCATCATTGGTGTCAGTGGGAGGAATTGTGCCCCATCATTGGTGTCAGGGGGAGGAATAGTGCCCCATCATTGGTATCAGTGGGAGGAAGTGCCCCATCTTTAGTGTCAGGGGGAAGAATAGTGTCCCATCATTGGTATCAGTAGGAGGAATAGTGTCCCATCATTGGCATCAGTGGGAGGAATAGTATCCCATCATTGGTGTCAGTGGGAGGAATAGTGCCCCATCATTGGTGTCAGTGGGAGGAATAGTGTCCCATCACTGGTATCAGTGGGAGGAAGTGCCCCATCATTAGTGTCAGTAGGAGGAAATAGTGCCCCATCATTGGTGTCAGTGGGAGGAAGTGCCCCATCATTGGTATCAGTGGGAGGAACAGTGCCCCATCATTGGTACCAGTGGGAGGAATAGTGCCCCATCATTGGTGTATCGGGGCAGCGGGACAGGAGGAGTGCAAAGGGACAGGTGAGGGGCAGTGGGACAGGAAGAGTGCAGAGGAACAGGTGAGGGGAAGTGGGACAGGAGAAGCGTAGAGGGACAGGTGGGGGGGGAGCGTGACAAGGGGCATGGGACAGGATCGGGGCAACGGAACAGGAGTAGCGCAGTGGGACAGGAGGAACGCAGTGGGACAGGTGAGGGGCAGTGGGACAGGAGAAGGAGCACAGAGGGACAGGAGGAGCGCAGAAGAATAGGTGAGGGGCAGTGGGACAGGAGGAGCGCAGAGAGACAGGTGAGGGGCAGTGGGACAGGTGGGGGGCAGCGTGACAGGGAGCATGAGACAGGATCGGGGCAGCAGGACAGGATGAGCGCAAAGGGACAGGTGAGGGGCAGTGGGACAGGAGGAGTGCAGAGGGGCAGGTAGGGGGCAGCATGACAGGGGGCATGGGACAGGATCGGGGCAGCGGGACAGGAGAAGCGCAGTGGGACAGGAGAAGCGCAGAAGGATAGGTGAGGGGCAGTGGGACAGCAGGAGCGCAGAGGGACAGGTGGGGGGCAGCGTGACAGGGGGCATGGGACAGGATCGGGGCAGTGGGACAGGAGGAGCGCAAAGGGACAGGATCGGGGCAGTGGGACAGGAGGAATGCAAAGGGACAGGTGAGGGGCAGTGGGGCAGGAGGAGCACAGAGGGACAGGTGAGGGGCAGTGGGACAGGAGGAGCCAGAGGGACAGGTGAGGGGCAGTGGGACAGGAGGAGCACAGAGGGACAGATGGGGGGCAGCGTGACAGGGGGCATGGGACAGGAGGAGTGCAGAGGGACAGGTGAGGGGCAGCTGGGCAGAAGGAGTGCAGAGGGACAGGTGAGGGGCAGCTGGACAGGAGGAGCACAGAGGGAGAGAGTGGGGGGCAGTGGGGATAGAAGGGGGGTAGTGGGACAATGTGGGGGACAGGAGGGGGGAAGTGGAACAGGTGGGGGCAGAATCGGGGGACAGTGAGAAAGGAGTGGGGAAGCACCTTCTACCCCAGGTTCTCTGGCGGCAAAAGAGCGGGCGGGCTCCTCCACCCTGACCTCGTCCTCTTCTGCTTCCTCCTTCGCTGGCACCTTCCTGCACATCCCGGCACAATGACAGCGGGGCCCCGCCCCTCATGTGCTCCGATCGCTCACTGCTGATCCGCTCACTGCTGATCCGCCCACCACTCCACTCTCCTCTGCAGCCGGTCCCTTGGCCCGGGTGACCCTCCTTGTTGTACCCTCAGCAATGGCAGCCCTGGGAAAGGGGGGGGGGGGCACTGCCGCCGTGCCGCCCCCGTGAAAAGTGCCGCCCTAGGCAAATGGCTTGTTTGCCTCGCGGCAAATACGCCCCTGTATACGTGATTTTGCAGTTCTGGGTAAGGGGTGCACGTGCCCTACCCATGCCACCATTTGCAGCCTGGGCTGTCAATCACTGGGTCCCGGCTGGTGATTACTCATCAGCACCCGGTAATCTCCGAGTAATACTGACGGGTGGAGAGAACTGTATGTAAACCAGGGGCGGACTGACAATTCATGGGGCCTCTGGGCAATAGGGGATCATGGGGCCCCTGTGTCCTTGCCCAAACTCAAAAAAGCCCATGAAAAAGGTACCAGGGGCATCTCATGGGGCCCCCTACTGACCCCGGGCCCTCGGGCAATGACCGAGTTTCCAAATGGTCAGTCCACCCCTGATGTAAACAATACAGTTCTTTCCCCTGTCAGCTCCTGCACACTGCTTTGTATGGCTCTGCATAGCACAGCCATACAAAGCAGTGTGCTTACAGTGGAAAGCACACACTGGGGATGTCAGTGACACCAAGTCAGTTCCCCCCAGATGAAGAATGACCTTCGCAATCCCGCTATAAGTCGCTGAATGCCACCATTACTAGTAAAAGAAAAAAAAAAATTCCAGTATATACTGTATATACCACCTTTTGTAAATGCTATAACTTTCACGTGAACCAATTAATTTACACGTATTCTGATTTTTTTTAGCAAAGACATGTAGCAGAATACATTTTGCCCTCAATTTATGACGAAATTAGATTTTTTTACATTTTTTTTACTGGACATGTTTAATAGCAACAAGTCAAAAATATTGTTTTTTTCCTCAAAATCTTTTTTTTGTTTATAGTGCAAGGCGATCAAATACCACCGAAAGAAAGCTCTATACGTAGGAAAAAAAGAAGGTAAATTTAATTTGTGTGCAGCGTTGCATGATCGTGCAATTGTCAATTAAAGTAACTCTCAGCCAATCCCTCCACTGGCTTCCACTCGGTCAACGAATAAAATTCAAAATACTAACTTACAAAGCCATCCACAACTCTGCCCCCAGCTACATCACCAACCGTAGGAAAAAAAGAAGGTAAATTTAATTTGTGTGCAGCGTTGCATGACCGTGCAATTGTCAATTAAAGTAACTTTCAGCCAATCCCTCCACTGGCTTCCACTCGGTCAACGAAAAAAATTCAAAATACTAACAACTTACAAAGCCATCCACAACTCTGCCCCCAGCTACATCACCAACCTGGTCTCAAAATATCAATCAAACCGCTCTCTTCAATCCTCCCTTCTGTTCTCTGTTTACCGTGTTACCTCCTCCCATGCTCACCTCCAGGACTTCTCCCGAGCTTCTTCCATCCTATGGAACTCTCTACCCCAATCTGCCCGGCTGTCTCCTAATCTATCCACCTTTAGACGATCCCTGAAAACCTTTCTTTTTAAAGAAGTCTATCCTGCTTCTACAATGTATTATGAAATTTCATTTGTAAAATTTTTTTACTGGATATGTTTTATAACAAAAAGTCAAAATGTTGTTTTTTTTTTCAAAATTGACGGTCTTTTTTTTGTTTATAGCGCAAAAAATTTAAAAACGCATTTTGCCCTCAATTTATGACGAAATTAGATTTTTTTACATTTTTTTACTGGACATGTTTAATAGCAACAAGTCAAAAATATTGTTTTTTTTTCTCAAAATCTTTTTTTTGTTTATAGTGCAAAAAATAAAAACGCACAGGCGATCAAATACCACCGAAAGAAAGCTCTATACGTAGGAAAAAAAGAAGGTAAATTTAATTTGTGTGCAGCGTTGCATGATCGTGCAATTGTCAATTAAAGTAACTCTCAGCCAATCCCTCCACTGGCTTCCACTCGGTCAACGAATAAAATTCAAAATACTAACTTACAAAGCCATCCACAACTCTGCCCCCAGCTACATCACCAACCGTAGGAAAAAAAAGAAGGTAAATTTAATTTGTGTGCAGCGTTGCATGACCGTGCAATTGTCAATTAAAGTAACTCTCAGCCAATCCCTCCAGGACCTCTCCCGAGCTTCTCCCATCCTATGGAACTCTCTACCCCAATCTGCCCGGCTGTCTCCTAATCTATCCACCTTTAGACGATCCCTGAAAACCTTTCTTTTTAAAGAAGTCTATCCTGCTTCTACCTAGTAAACCGCCATTTATTTCCTCCATCAGCTCATCTCCCCACAGCTATTACCTTTTGTATCACTCAACCCTTCCTCCTAGATTGTAAGTTCTAACGGGCAGGGCCCTCTGTTTCCTCTTCTACCAAATTGTATTGTACAGGGGCGGACTGACAACTCATGGGGCCCCTGGGCAATAGGGGATCATGGGGCCCCTGTGTCCTTACCCAAACTCAAAAAAGCCTATGAAAAAGGTATTAGGGGCATCTCATGGGGCCCCCTACTGACCCTGGGCCCTCAGGCAGTGCCCGAGTTTCCAAATGGTCAGTCCGCCTCTGATATTGTAACTGTAATGTCTACTTTCATTTTGTAAAGTGCTGAGCAAACTGTTGGCGCTGTATAAATCCTGTATAATAATAATAAAATAAAGGCAAACAATGGCCTGGTCAGGAAGGGGGGTAAATCCGTTCCACAAAGTAATAAAGGTGGATAAACTGTGGTCTGGTGTTGTGTAGAATCTCTTTACATCCCTGCGCTCTGCTGGCACCGTGACTGGAATCACAGGGCTTTCCTGGCAGTGTGTTTGGGAAACACACGAGGGTGTGCGGTTTACACTGTCAATGACGTCACCGGCTGCAGCCAATCCCGTGGCGGGGGTGTGTGTGGCGCTGAGAGGAAGAGCTTATCGTCTCTCTCAGCTACAATTGCAGGCGAGGTCCCTGTCCCTCCCTTCCAGTATCATCTGCAGGCACCTTCACGTGGACCGCTCCGCTCTGGACATCCCATATGGCGTGCAGTAGAATGACTCCTATCAAGCTCGCTCTGAGCATCAGAACCCCGGCCAGGGTCGCCATACGACTGAGGTCCTCAGCAGCGACAGCCCCTCAGGTGAAGGGGGCTGCTGAGAACAAGGAGGCAGGGGAGAAGTGGCCTGTGGGCTCCCAGGTAGATCACATAGAGAGGTGTGAGGATGTGGGGAGCAGAGCCTGCCCTGCTGTCACTATGAACTTTGACAACACACAAGAAGCCTATAAAAGTAAGGCCACGTGGGAGCTGATGAGAAGTATGGTGGTGTTCTGGCTGTGCTCTGTAGATCAGCTGGTGGACAGGAATCAGCAGGTAAGGGGATGACAAGAATGCTCACTGGGCCTGAGGTATACAAATGCAATCAGTCATGTCTGATCCTTCATTATATTCTGGAGTGACACTGTGCAGGTGTATGTGCAACCTAAGCTTCTGAAATTAAAGGGTTAGCTCACCTTTATGGAAAAAACAAATGAAAAGAATGAACACCATACACCCTCCCCACCCCCTGGTCCCTGCTGTGTTTACCTCCATGGGTGATGAGCTGTCATTGCACCTGCAGCCGCTCTGTGGGATTTGAAAATCCCCCCACTCTTCTCTGTGTAGCACTTCCAGGACACATTAGAAAGATGTTCTGTGATGGTGCTGACCAATCAGAATCAGTGTGTGAGCACTGACAGCTCAGCATCCCTGTAAGTACAGCGGGAACATGAGTGCGCAGGGTGTATGGTATTTTGTTTTTACACTTTTTTTTGTTTTTTTTGTTCTGTAAAGGTGATTTAACACTTTAAAAACTTTTTTTTTTTCATTTTGGAAAGAATAAGGGAGGGTTATAAACCCCGTGTGGGTTATTTATTTATTTTTTTTGCCATCTGTGTCCCATTGGGGAGATTTCTCTTTTACTTCCTGTCCCATAGCCAAAACAGGAAGTGAAAAAGCTCTGTAAATGACGAGCGTTCCCTGGGGTCCCCCAGGTCACCAGAACTAGTGTCCCCATTGGAAGATTACTTTTCTGGGGACAATCCAAAATTTGGGATTTTCTTTCACTTTCACTTTGAATGATAATGGTAAACAAGACAAATGGAGAGGCTGAATCTCCCTAATGGGGGCACAGAAAGCAGTAAAAACTGCCAATCGTTCTTTTACAGTGGAGTGTTGTGGCACTCCACTTGATACAAAACGAAAAAATAGTTTTGCCTTTAGTTTAAATCAGGGTGGAGCTGATTTTAAATCCTAGTTTTCTACATAAAGACTAATTCTTGCTGGTAGAACTTTTAATATGCAAGTAGATGAAGATTTTTAGAATAACAACTTTTCATATTAGTTTTTTTATCCCCAGTTTAATAGGTTAATCATTCATATTTGGACAACTTTTCTGTTGTACTTAGGAAGGAGAAAAATAATCATTACCTTAATATTAACAATTTAAATAGATTTATTCATCTGAAACAATAACATTCCAGCATATGTTATTTGCCTAAACAAACATCCATGTTTAACTAATAAACATATATATATATATTAAGAAACTTAGACTGTCAGCCCCTTCCTCCTCACACTTAGTTTCACTTTCTTCTTGTGCAGATCTATTCCACTCCAAACAATCAGAAAAATATTGTTTCGATTCTATTCACTGAACTTCTTGAAACTTAGCACTGAAGGGGTTGATTCTGTATTCATAGGTTTGTAGAAGTTAGGATTAAGGTTTTTCTTAACTCTGTTCATGTTATAACATTTTTGCTGTGAAGAAGAGGCCTGTGATCTCCGCTGAGTCAAATTCAGTTTTGAGAACTGCAAAAGTAAACCAAACTGTGATAATATCTTGTAGGCAGAGAAACTGCCCAATAATCTTACAAAAACCTCTGGAAGAGCATGACATTGTGAATGGATTCATGGAATTTATTTACCAAAAAAATTAAACATATACAGCCTTATTCTACATAATTAAAAAACGAATCTTTATTTCATGATGGAATAACCTTTGGATGGTAATATATTTTCCTCAAAAGCATTTTATTTAAAAAATCCGATTTTAAATAAAAACTTTTTTTTTTTTTTTATCATTGATTTTTTCCACCCTGCTTTAGTTATATTTCAAAGTAGAAGTAAAGGCAATTTTTTTTTTTTTTTTCATGCCATTCCTGCTTTGTGTATTGGGTTTGCACAGAGCAGCTTCAGTTCTTCTCCTGTTTGGTTCCCTGCTGGCGCTTCTGGCCCCTCCTTCCTGCTGAGTGCCCCAAGAGCAAGAAGCTTGTTCTGGGGGCACCCAGGCAGGCTCGCTCCTGAGCCACTGCTCTGCGTGTCTATTCACACACAGCCGTAGTTAATCCCTGCCCCCTCCCATCTCCTCACCCTAGGTTCACATCTGTGCGGGTGGTGCCGCTGCAGATCCGCACGAAAATCCGTGCAGCCGCACCACCCGCACAGAGAAATGTGGACCCACGGGAAGGTGCCATTAATTCT